CACTGGCAGGGATCGCAGCTGCTCTGGGAAACGCGTGCCAGTGCTTCACCACACTCATCATAAACATTTCTTTCTTTCTTATGTCCAATCTAACCCTGCCCTCTGTCACTTTAAAGCTGTTACCCCCTGTCCTGTTGCTCCACACTCCTGTCCAAAGTCCCTCTCCAGGTCTCCTGAAAGCCCCTTTAGGCACTGGAAGGGGCTCTAAGGTCTCCCTGGAGCCTTCTCTTCTCCAGACAGAACAAACCCAACTCCTTTAGCCTATCAGTAATTTAAAAGCTGCCACGGGCTGCAGCCCTTTGAGGGGACACCATGAAACTAAATCACCCAGGGGAGCACAGGGGGCTGTGCCCCCACCTGCACAGCTTGGGCTGATGTGGCCAAGCCCAAGAGTTACAAAGCCAGCGAGGCTTTGGCCCTAGCAAGGTTGTCCTCTCCATGTTCCCAGCACAAGGGGTAGCTCTGCCTCCTGCCCATGACAGCAGTACCCGCTGCCCGCACAACCACCCTGCCCACACCTACACCCCTCAGAGTGGGGCTGCAGGCAGGAGGAGGCAGCTATTGTTGAGAACCCCCCAAGCCACATTCAGCTCCCAGAATGTGCTCGAGTTTTCCTCCCCGCCTGACCCTCAGCCCTGCCTGTTTGATGGGGACTCAAGAAAAGATATTTAACACGCAAAATGACGCCGGTGTCATTAACTCTTTCAAGACTGTTTTCTTTGTCTCAGAGCATGGCGAGGGTGGGTGGCTGGATGGAAGGGCAGCCACTGTCAGGGTCACCCCTTGTCCAGAGACTGGCAGTGCAAGCAGCAGTGCAGGCAGCAGTGCAGGCAGCAGGCAGGCCTGCCACAGGGTGCATGCGCTACCCGGAGGCGTGGCAGCTGTTTCCGCTGTCATCCCTGCCTGTTGCCTAGGGAAAAAGTTTCTCCTCTGGGCAGGCTGCCCGACCAGCCCAAAGGCTGTCGAAAGCTGCTCGACAGGCAACCCCAGGCAGCAGGAGCAGGTAGGACAGAGCTGCTCCCCGCTCCTCTGCCCCCTTTACTGCCCTCACCACTACCTGCTTGGCTGGGACCAGGAGGGTGAAGGAGACAGGGGCTACCTGAGACCACCTATGCCCAATTCAAAGCACTTCACTGGGCTTGGGAGGGACTGGAAGGCGTTGCGTGTTTGGGGGGGATTGGCATTGCATGTTTTCCTCTCCTGCATGGCTCTGGGGGCACAGAGCTGTGGGAGCTGTGGGGACACACTCCTGTGGATTGGGGGTCCCTGGTGAGGGGAGGTTGGGGCCAGCAGGGCTTTCCCAGCTCCCCCCCCTTTCCAGCAGACCCTCATCCTCTTTCAGCTCTTCTGACATGAGTTTGCTGAGCATGCAGCTGTGCTCCCCCCGTGATCCCCCTCAGCTCTGTGTCACTGGGCTGTTTTCATTCTGGGGTCCCGTGGGGGCTGAAAAGTGCTGAGAGGCTCTGTCCGCCATGCCAAGCACAGGGATAAGGCTGAGACATTTTGTGGGCAGGGGTTCCATCCCTTCCTCCAACCCGGCTATGGGCTGAAGGAGGAGGAAAAGCTGGACTTTCCTGGAAGGACTTGGCATCTCTCACCTCCTGCTCTGCCCCTCCCCAAAGGACTTTGCTACTTTGCTGGAGGATTAAGGCTGAGCTGCCCCCGTGGGGAGGCTGAGTCATGGCTTCCAAGCGCCCTGCATCCTCCTCAACACAGCACAGGGAAAAGAAAGCGAAAGGGAAAGATGGGGATGACACCTGGAGCTCCACCTTGGCAGCCCTCAAAACTGCCCCCAGGGAGAAGCCCCCTGCCACCGTCGATGGGCTGTGCCCCCTGAGCACAGCACCAGGTGCCCAGGTGAGAGGGGGCTGAGGTACCCAGAGGGGCTGGGATGGGGGGACATGGGCAGCAGGGCGAACCTCCAGGCAGCCACCTGCTGACACATAGCCAGCTCCAATTTTCCATGCAGACCCCCCTGTATCCCTACTGGGACATCTCTGCACCCTCCCCATCCCCAAATGCCAGCCCAAACCATGCCATTCGCTGTAGGTCTATGAGGACTACGACTGCACCCTGAACCAGACCAACATCAGTGCCAACAACAACAAGTTCTACATCATCCAGCTCCTTGAGCACAAGGGTGCCTACAGTGTCTGGAGCCGCTGGGGCCGTGTGGTGAGTCCACCCTGGCACTATCCACCCACCCACCTCCCAGCTGTCCCCACCCTGCCTTCGGACCCCCAAAAGTTGAGGTGAACCTGGTGGTCCCCATCCCTTTTTCCTGGTCCCGAAGCAAGCAACAAAGTGTCCTGTTATAGCCCTTTGCTTGGGGGGCTTCAAGGACTTTCCCACTCATGACATGGTGAGCCTGGCTGGGGCACATGGCACCTGTTACTGCAGTGAATGTGAATGTGACATTACAACAAGGAGTCCTGGGGTCTCTTCCCGTGCTGGTGGCTCAGCACGTCCCTACTCCCCGCCCACCAGCCCTGCCCTTGCAGCCCCCCCTGAACCCTACCTGCTCCCTCCAGCACGAGGCTGGTGGGGCAGGGATGTAGGAGAGGTCCTGAGCACTGCTATCCACTGTCAGGGGGAGGTAGGCCAGTCCAAGCTCATGCCCTGCGCCTCCCTGGAGGCTGCCAAGAAGGACTTTGAGAAGAAGTTTCGGGAGAAGACCAAGAACAGCTGGGCCTCAAAGGAAAACTTCATTGCCCAGCCGGGGAAGTACACACTCATCGAGGTGCAGCCAGGGGCTGGGCAGGAGGTGGAGGTTGCCCTCAAGGTGAGTACAATGGCCAGCTGGGGTGTCACCACAGTGGGATAGTCCTCATATCCCACTCCTGGGCTACTGGACACCAGTACAGGTGTCCTACAGGACATCCAAGGGGGTCACCAGGATGTGGTGGGTTCTGAGGAGGGTCTGGGTGCATGCTGAAACAGCCTGCAGGCAGAGATTTGGGGCTAATGGGTTGAAATGGAGTGGGAGGGCATCTCAAATGAGAACCGTGGGCTTGTGGGTGGAATCAGTTATGGAAAATGGAGGCAGCACCTGCCTATTGCTTTGCTGCCCAGGGGCTGGGCTCTCCCCATCAGGCAGCTCCCACAGCCTCTCACAGGTGATGCTGGGGATCTGCAGGTGGATGATGTGGATGGGGACAAGGTCTGCAAGCAGCAGGTGCTGCCCTGCACCTTGGACAAGGACACACAGGAGCTGGTGTCCCTCATCTTCAGCAGTGACATGTTCCGGGATGCCATGCAGACCATGAATATTGGTAGGAGGTGATGGATGGCATATGCTGGGCCTGGGGGCTTCAGCTGGGGTGTGCAGGTGGAGGGGTGAGTGGGGCAGAGGTGCTGATGGATTTTAGAGCATCCCCTCTACCATCCTGGCACCTGGTGGGACTGTGGATACCCTGTGCCGAGTGCCTGCATGTGCCCGTGGTGATGCTTGGAGGCTCTTGTGAGGCAAGTGGGGTGGATGGGGTCATCTGTGCCCTCCCCAACACTCTCCAGACGTGAAGAAGATGCCGCTGGGGAAGCTGAGCAAGCAGCAGATCGCGAGGGGCTTTGAGGCACTGGAGGAGCTGGAGGCAGCGCTGCAGGAGCAGCCCCCCAAGGCCTCTCTCCTGGAGGAGCTCTCCTCCCGCTTCTACACCATCGTCCCCCACAACTTTGGGCGGGCACGACCACCCCCCATCAACTCCTCTGACCTGCTCCGTGCCAAGAAGGACATGCTGTTGGTGAGATGCCAGGGCACGTGGTGATTGGCATCCCTCCCCAAGGAGGGCTCCTGCATGTGGGGCAGGGAGCTGCTGGCAGGAGTTTGGGCTTGCCCTGGTCCCCTGACACGGTGCCCGGCACTGGTGGTGCGGATGTCTCTGGTTTGTCCCTGCCAGGTGCTGGCCGACATTGAGGTGGCACAGAGCCTGCAGGCACAGAAAGTGAAGGAGGAGGAGAAAGAAGTCCCCCATCCGCTGGATCAGGATTATGCCCTGCTCTGCTGCCAGCTCTCCCTGCTGGACTCAGCTTCCCGGGAATATCAGGTGCTCCTTGTGCCACAGTGTCTCATAATGGGGAGCAACTGTGCCAGGCCTGTGGGCAACCCAAAAGGTCCCCACTGTCCCAGGGGCACCCTGGGCATTGGTGGGATGGCTGCCTGCGGTGACACTGCTTTCCTACCTCTCTCCCGGGCAGCTGATCCAAAACTATGTGAAACAGACTGGGCACAACCTCCACATCCTCAACATCTGGCAGGTGGCCCGAGCTGGTGAGGTGAGGTGGAGATGATTTGCCCCATCTTACAGTGTGGAAGCCCTGGTTGCACCTCAGGATTATGTTAGGGCTCTGGGCTTCTTCACCCAGTGGGGGCTTCAGCCCAGCTGGCCAGGGTTGCCCGCTCTCCTGCCCCTCCATTTGGGCTCTGGGGTAGGGCTGTGGGAGTGGGTGGCAGCCCTCCATGCCTGGGCATCCACATCTCCCTCTGTGGACAGCCCTTAGCTGTTCATCTCTCCAGGATGAGCGCTTCAAAGCCCACAACCTCCTGGAGCACCGGCGCCTGCTTTGGCACGGCACCAACGTGGCGGTGGTGGCAGCCATCCTGAAGAGCGGGCTGCGCATCATGCCACACTCAGGAGGGCGTGTGGGCAAGGGCATCTACTTTGCCTCTGAGAACAGCAAATCAGCCTGCTACGGTGAGGGTCCTGGGACGAGCAAGGCTGCTTGGGATACCTGCAGGGTCAATGTGAGCCTGGCTGCCTTCGCATGACCCCTGCCAGGCAGCTGTGGGCTGGCAGGCATGTGGACATGCCAAGCCCCTTCCCTGCATGGCAACTGGTCTTTCTGTCCCAGCATGGTCTGGGCACAACGAGATGGGAACACCAGGGAGGGTGTTGTCGTCTCCATCCCTTTCTCCCATGTCAGTGGACTGCACATCCAAGAATGTTGGCATCATGTTCCTGACGGAGGTGGCCCTGGGCAAGCCCTACCGCATCACCCGTGATGACCCCTC